CTTGTTTTACAACGTCGTTGCCAAGCGACGAAAACCCAACCCCGATGGCAAACACCGGGGGGGGCTCTAGGTGAGGAGGATAGTGATCCCCGATGCCCAACAGCGGTTACAGCTCGTTCTTTTCTCATCATCTATTCGGAGATGATATTCGGAGACGAGACAAATAGATCACCTGCGGGGCTTGTCCAAACTTTCCGCCGGGCTGACGCGGCCTGTCATTTTCGTGCCACGAGTAGTGTCCCGGCCCCGGAACCTTCCTGCAAGGGGGGTGGGCCGGATCGTGGTTTTGGTTGCGAGCGAAAAGCGTCACCGTCTAAACCAAAGTGCTCCTGTTGTTGTGTTTGTATTAGAGTGTGTGTCGCCAACGAGACGCGTGTTCTCGAATTCTAGGGAGGTCTCGCAACGAGACGACGGCGTGGAAACGGCCCACAAGGACGCTCCAAGAGTTGCCGACAAGGGCCGAAGAGCCGGCCTCGATAATCGACCATCGATTTATGCCTCATTTCCGTTCTCGAGCATTAACCTGATACCCCCAATTCTATATTTATTGTTCGCTCCCAAGGATAATGACCAGCTTCTGGTTGATCCTTGTCAATAGTAGCATCCTGGGCCGACGAAAACCCGGCATATCGCCCCGTCTGGGCGTTGTGGGGATGCGAGGTCAATGGTCAACGACTACGGCATGCGTCTACCTGCATACATCCACCCATCCCTCCCTCCCACTTTCAAGACCCCCGGGAGAAACTGAAAGGTGTCTTGGCACCGCCTAGCGGCGATAGTCCCCCACCCCGAAGCAACAAGGGAAGTTTGTTGTGCTAAGCCCAAACAAATTGTGCCATTAGCGGCAAGTGAGCCGCCGAGGCGACTACGCTGGTCTGTGTTCAGTGACTTAAACACGCCATGTTGCGAAAAAAGACGGTACTGCCGGATTGATATTGCAATGGAGACGTTGCCGGAGAGGTGGAGGGTGTACCTGATCAGATGCTGAGCGAAAAATCTCGTGCGGACGAGTTGACTGATTCACACACTGCAACAAGACTACCTCTTACAATACAGACGCGATCTCGCGCAACAAACATTGAGCGACACCATCAGGCACTCTTCTCGCCTGGCATTTCAAATTTTTGGAGTTAGAGCGTGTATCCATACACTGTAGTATTCATCGGAGAACGAGTAACAAATGTCCAGGTTCACAAGGAGGGTTCTTCGAACATGTTGAGCACCTGGTGAGCGTGGAGACGAAATATGGGGTGGTGCGTAGCTAGGTCCTCGACAAGGCTTAAGCTACCCCCCCCCGGCTTCGCCAGGATCATGGCAATTTGTCGAGTTCTTTGCGCAATCGATGACACCGAACTCGAGCGTAATTCAGCAAAGGCCCACCAGGGTTTTTACCCAGTTTAGGCTCGCTTGTGACTACGTAGAGTATCATCCCCTAGGATAGATTCCATGGGTAGGGAAGAAGAGGTATTTCATTAAAGTAACAACTGTTGCAGACCGTAACGGCAGTATTTACCAACCACAGCAACCAAACAGCGACTAACCGAAAGCATTATCCAGATGTACGACACTCGGCTCTGCTCGCCATGTGTTGAGCAAAAATAATTTGCAAAAGTTCGTGCGCGGAAGGAATCGAAGGGCACCCACTCGTCTGGGAGGGGCGTTATCGGTCGCCGCTTTTGCATGACATACCGTCGGCTGAGGCCCTTGCAGCAGAAGAGGAACGATGAAACTTCCCGCATTCTTCCACGCTAGACCCCCGGCTCGGCAAAGGCGTTGCCCGTGTTCAGCCTTTGCCGGGCAACTCGTCAACCTCGCTGAGGTATCGTGTCGCACTTACGACACCCTTTCACCCTGCGTACCTTGACGGAAGGGCCAAATCTCTACCGATCCCGCTGCCCCCAAAACCGAAGCCCTTGAACGACCTCCGCGTCGACTCCTTCTGCTCCCCCAATGATCCGTAGACGTTGTATTGCCCTGGGGAAAAGGTAGCGCGATTTAGGGGGGGGGGGTGACAACGTTGTTCCAGCCATGAAGCTTCGTGCAACTTTGTCGACAGATTTCGTGAGCTGACGCTCCGGGTTTGTTTCGTGCCGAGCTACAACGAGGCTGGAGGAGAGGAGATACGGGGACATACGGTTGGGCGTGTCCGATACAGCTTGTGCCGCGCGGTATCGGCCGTGACACGTGGCTCCCTCCTCACACACCACTGTGCTGGTTGGCACGTGAGGATGGCAACAAGAGTAGCTAGTTGGTAATCGCTGCTGTTCACGATCTCCTTCAATGAATCAATTTGTCTCTAAAGGTGCGAAGAGAGATCAGATACTCCGTGGGAAGCCTTTTGAACCCTTGTCTAGGAAGACCTCAGATCAACCGCGTACCCCGGTGACACCTCGTTCGTCGACAACTTCGGGCGCCTCCCTCTCCTCGTGTTTGCTAACACTACAGCACCTAGACGTTGCTCGCGGAGTTGGAAAGCTGCCAACAGCAGGTCTCGAAGCAGCACAAAGGGCCAGATCCCACAATGTTTCTAGGAATTCCCACTTGGAGAATAGTGTTTGTTCCAAGGGAAAACTCGGACCGGAGAAGAACTGCTGTGCCGTAGGTCGACGAGAAAAGAGCGAAAACAAACTAATCAAAGTTCGAGATTTCCTCAAATCGTGAAGGGACGACACAACGGCAATAAATACTTACAGCACCACAACGAGACAACAGCAGTTTCATTATTAATCAGCAAGAGCCCGACCTCTTCAAATCATGATTGCTGCACAATCAACCAATCGCAACCATGAATTGAATTCCGTGCTTGTCCTCCCCTTCCATCCTCGTGTCAACTGCGGTGCCCCCTTCTCAAACCTTCCCCCCCTTGCGCACCTGGCCCTGGCGACTTCGGCACCTTGGTCTGCTTCCGCCATGGTGCGCCAGCCATGGAGTACTTGGGGCCAGGCGGCTGGGCGCTGACGTTGACCATGGCTGTCATAGGCCCGGGACTCTGTTGTTTGCGTAGGAATACCGGGAGGAGGTCTTTCAACAGGGGAAAGGGGGTGCGGATGCTGAGGGTGTGTGAGTACCCGCCAAGAACGGGCGCCGCTTTTGTTTGTTGCGTGTATCTGGCAACTCGACGGGGCATGTTGGTTTCCTGCCCAACACAAACACCGTACGTCTCTGTCTCTTCTCTGTCTGATGCCTGCGTGGCTCTGGTCTCCCCTCCCAACACGTACACCTTCCTCAATGTGCTTGCGTTTTCATGGTGCCTCCTAGCTTCTTATTTCGATCTGCCGACATCCTCGCTTGTTCCTCTTCTCACAACCCCTCATATTCTTGCTTCTCGACTCTCCGTGCCCCTGTTTCGTGGGAAACCTCCCTATCCCTCCGTGACAGCCGGGATACCCTGTGAATTCATGACGTATCTGGCTTGACACAGCAAATGCTAAGGTGATAACCAACTTCTGACTGATTGTGACGGGCAGCCTGGGTCAGCGAAGACGGCATGTCGCTCCGTCCCGACATTCTGAGGATGCGAGGTGAATGGCCCAACGGCTACGGCATGCGTTTACATCAGTACACCCCCTTTCTATCCCCCACATTCTCTCCTCACCACGCATCCTTCCCCGTTGAGCGGCGGCCGCTGCGAGCTGCCGAAAACTGGGGTAGGCGCTGTCTTGAACCGCGACTGTACCTGCTGCCCGCAAGTTACCCTGCGCCCCGCCCCACCAAAAATCCAAAAGTCAACAGTAGCTGGCGGTATTTTGGTGTTGTTCGGGGCTAATGCGTCTTGGCGGTGTCGTGGGTGCCAAGATTGAGCCTGTGCGGGCGTATATTCTGTTCTCTAGAAACGGTCTCCCGGGAGACGAAGCGTTTCAGTATCTCGTGAGCCTACGTTATCGTACTGGGCCGCATTGACGAAAAGGTAAGTTCGAGTCAAGGCCCAGTTTCGTTCTTGGTCGCTACCGTCAACTGATGATTAAGAAGGCTATAAATGTAGGATGTGTGAAGGATCCCCCGCAAGGCTGCGAGTCTTACATATCTGATATAATGCTTTTGTCGGAATGATTGTATATTCCTGCAACCAGCGCGATAGACCTTCGTCGAAAAACACCGACAAGTACTACCCTTGCCTTCCTCGAGACTACCTCAAGATTGACATGCACAAACGTCGACCATTAATTGTCGACGTCCTCTCGCTCTACGGCTTACTTGCGCTACTGTTGTGCTGAGTGCTCAGACCTAAGCGAGCCGGGACGTAAAGGTCACAGCAATATTTATCTGGTTAAACCACATAAAGGGAAAGGACACCATGTTTCGACCCTCACCCACCCGTCCACCACTACCATCCCCCCATCACCCCCCTCCCACTCTCTTTTGCCGTCCCCCCCCGTGGGGGCCCGATTCTCACTTGTCTAGCTCGTACTGAGGTCCCGGTGTGTTCTTTCCCTTGAGTGCCTCCACCGGCCTCCCCTTATCATTGATGCCGTCCGTATAGTGTCCCCATCCCACTACGGGCTGGGTCCTTCGCTCGCAGGGGAAACAGGCGGAGAACATCGAGAGAAAGAAAGGCGTAGGTTGTCTGAAGCCCGGGAAAGTGAAGCGTACAGAATGTGGTAGGGGTGCTAGCCAAAGGTTAACGTAGAACGGCTTTGAAGAGTCGCTAGCGAAATACAGCGAGGGCAGCAACAGTAACCGCGGCATGGGCAAGTAGCATCTACCAAGAGTGGACACCATCTGAGCATTATCAAAGCCCCGAGACCATACCTGAAGTTGGACAGAGGCTGCCTGCCGAGGCCGTTTGGAACCTGGCCCGAAAAACCTGGGGATTGTGAAGCTCGTATCTTGTCAAGCGTCGACGCTCGGAGCGACAGGCAACCATCCCGAAAGTCTGCCTCTGGCCCAGTCCCAATGTTCATCTCCTTCTGCGATATTGTAGGCCGTATCTGCTTGTTGCTCTTTTCCCTGCCAAGAGTGCTTGGTGTTAGGGGATGTTGTTTGTGCTCAGCTCCTGCTGTTGTTGTGTTTGCGCCTCCTGCGATGAGCTCGAAAACCAGGAGCTTCTTCGTGACGATGTATTTTCCGATGTTCTTCGAGGCTAGTTTTCCTGCGAAATCGTTAGACCAGTTTCAAGGAGGGTCGTTGTTCGCACAGGGGTGGACAAGTGGGCGACAGGGAGCTTGGCCAATCAGAGCTTGTTGGTCGATACGGGCGTCCACATATGGATATGTCGGCGTGGAGGTCGAGGATACAGATGTACAGGACCGGGGTACAGTAACATGTCGTGGTACAACAACTACAGAGTGTCCTGATGTGCGACCCATCGTTCGACAAAAAGGAAAATGTGGTCTTCTGCACAACTTTGAATGATCTGCATATACTAACCTCGACAGTCCTTGCGTTCGGACAGGGAGGAGAGCAGAGATCCACTCGAGTTTGCCACGGAAGTAACTAGCTAGGGCTTGTTGTTGACCAGTGAGGTGGGACACTCTTAAGGAAGGAGCAAAAGTAGTGCATACGTATATCGTACTAGGGGGAACGATTGGTCCCCCGCCCCCCAATGGGGCGGGCGGCCAGCATTCGTGGGATGGGTGCGGCGGCTCGATAAGCAGAGGAAGTAGACGCGATGATAACATCGAATCAGAAAAAGGGTACTCGAAGTCGGCTTAGTTACGTAGACGATGTGAGGTCGATACGTACGCACGTCTGTTCGTTGCATAGATCGGTGTCCTGCAAAATAATATGAAAACGCAAGGGATTTTCGTGGATTGAATGATCGATGCCCGATCACAAAACGTGAAGCGGACAGAAGACGGGGGTGGGGAAAAATTTGAGGAGGGAATGCAAGAGGTAATGGGGAAAACAAAGACGACGCCGTATGAAAACGAGAAAAGGTAGGGGGCCGTTGTCACCGGTGGCCCTGTATGCGGGGATGAAATTTGCGGCGGTGTGGTATTCGTTCGTGCGGGTGGTGGTTGTGGCGGGCGAGATGGCGGACGTGGCAAATCCGTATAATCACACAGAGGATTGTAAAGAAGTGAATCGCCCCGCCGCCAGCCGGGCAGGTTCCGGTTACCCTATGGAAACTTCTCTTGCCTAGCAAACAAGAAGTCTCGAAAAGGGGGGAGTAATGTGGAGACCACCTTCATTAAGAAAGGTACTATCTCCCCAACGTCTGTGGAGGACGACCCTTCTATTCACAGGTAGTTGGGAAATCCGGAAATATACGGAAGGCCGGTTGTTTTATAATACGCTCAGAAATCGATTCACCTTGCATATATTTCAATTCTACCATGCTCGGACGGGATAGGCGGTCAAAGGAAAATATCAAACATAGGGGATGATAAGCTCATCATCCCCTCCCGTGAGCAAATTTACTCCGACACTGATCTCCCGAGAAAATGGTTCGTAAGGAAGGGGTGTGTGTGTCGTACTTTCTCTCGTATGCGCCAAAATATACCTTAAAGTAGTTTTGTTTATATTTTTGAATGTATTTTTGGTGACATAAGCTACCTGCACAATCACATATTGAAGTATCTTGAGCAGTTCTTTGGTGTTGACCTGGACCAAAAATTCAGGGTGGCAACAATCACCACGTTGGACGGGCAACAACGAAGGGAAGACAACATTTCATTCAGAAAATCAATGCATTTTCGAAAACAAATGGCGTTTTGAACGGAATCGAGCTCATGACCTTGTGTGTACAAAGGTGTTTGGGGAAAGCTCTATTATCTCTATCTCCATATTGTCTCGACCGGTCTTATATCCTGATACTTGCTTCCGAGCAGAGGGGTAGTGTTTTGAATAGAATGTCTTAGTTACAACAGGGATGCATACGCGCATTCGCTAGTCCACAGCACGCAGAAGTGTATTGCAGTTGCCCTATACGTTAGTCTAATGGACGTACGTACAAAAAAGAACACATTGATACCAAGAGATCACACCTGTACCTGCCTATCGTTCCCTTGTACCACCGGTACAACTCTACCACTCACTCCTCCGCTTACTACTTAGACACTATTTTGCCCTTTTCCTTTCTCAGGACCCCACCCACACCCGCAATCACGTATATCTCCGACGGGGAGGGGGAGCAACACGAATGTGTGGGTGCTTCTTGTGCATGCAGAGGTTTGTCCACGCATCATCAATCAATGCTATCAAGTTCGTGTTGATTCAGATTTTTCTCATCACCAATCAACGCTTGCTGTCTTGGTGCTTTGTCGGAATTTTGGTTGAGATTGTCACAGCGAGCGGTAGACACACATACGTGTTCGTCGCAAGCCACAGGTTGACGCATGGTTTGAGCGCAAAGTTACTGCACGGCATGGCAGCAATGTTCACCAGTATCTGGATGATGATTATGTAGAGTCTACAGCAAGAACACCTTGTGAATGATGAGATAGCAGATTGAGAAGCGAATGTGAATCCACGAAACACCGCCACAAGCAACACACGTCCATCACTGTGTGTGCATGCGCTAAGAGTTGTCTACAGCTGCAGTGTTTCACTTGGCCCGGTGGCGTCACAATGCCCTTCGCCCGGTCGCAGGAGGTATCTCATGCAGCCGACGTCGCAAAGATAGGTCATAGTTTTCGGTCTTACCCACGTAGCACACAATCGGTGTGGGTAGCAACAAGCACAGGAGACACACATCATCATATATATATACGTCGTTCTCTACAGTTCAGTAGCAGCAACAGGGTTGACGCAAGGCCGCATGTCCTTGTTGAGCGCGAAACACGTCTTGTTAGAGAACATGGTTGCACGCTATTGCAGCAGTGTTCAGCAGTAGTATCTGGATGATGTACAAAACTCTACGGCTGTACAGTAGAACACGCTGTGATTGATGATGGCCGATTTTGAATCTGAAACAACACCAAACAAAACATGTTCAACACTGCGGATGCGTGCGTTAGGACTTTTCTCCAGCAGCAGTGTTTCACTTGGCCCGGTGGCGTCGCATTGAAGAACCCCTCGCCCGGTCGCCGAAGGCATCTCATGCAGCCGATGTCGCCAAGACACGCTAATGTTCGGTCTTCCGACGTCCATAAGCATACTAATAGTAAAAAATGTGTTACGACACGACCACCATCCTGAGTATTGTATACCACATAACATTATGTATCAAGGCGGAGTGACAAATTGTCGCTTGTGGAGCTGCAACAAATAAATGGGCGATGTGGCATATCAGGTACCCGACAAGCTATAACAAAACAACATGGGGTGGGCACTGCTGTAGATCGCTTTCACTTGCACTCAAGACATTCGAACATACAGCGCCCTCATCCCACGTACACACCTCAGCCGAGCACCGAGCACACCTGCATCAGTTCGGCCGCATTATTTGGCCATTGGGGAGGTTCTTCCGAATGGCACGAGAGTATGACTTCGGCTCCTCCAGAGGGCGAACGGGGATGTGGGAACAATCATAATCAGCGTAAGCACACATGATCTTACCTCCTTTTGGTGAACCCACTCGCCAGGCGGGCAAGCCATCTTGTGTGCGCGGTGGGCCTCTGGCCTTTGGCTGGTGGGTAGAGCTGTAGGAAGCGGCGTAAAACATGACGGTTGACCGGCGGCGCATCTTCCCCACTTCCGAAGCGTCAACCGCCCTCACAGTAAACCTGATTTCTGTAAACCTGAATAGTGCAAGATGTTATCATATCCCTTCGAACGAGATACACCCGTGGAATACGTTTGTGAGACAAATCGGGGGCTTCACATTGTGGGTCACGTGAGATTGACATTGGTCGTGTATGTCGTGAGATTTGTCATGGTGCCTCCATGGTTTGTCATTAGGAAAAATAGACATGGAAATAATTATGATTGTGGAAACCTGGATATAGGTATCTTCCTAACGGTACTGACGCACATGCAACCAGTGAAGATCGGAGACCCTACGAACACAGTTCTACAGGTCTGCAGATGTTTACAAAGAGAGAACCTCCGCCTGCTGTGACCAGCCGGAGCATGAAGGAGCCCACCAAGGCTCACTCTCTCACCTTTCACCCTAGCAAGGCTGACTAACGTCAGCCACGCTTGACCATTCCTTGCCACATTGCAATAAGTGCGAAAATACCNAAAAATCTCTTGCCCCTGAGGCCGCGCGTGCGGATGGGTTCACCCCGGCTCGCACCCCGAGCCAGAAAAAAAGGGACAAAAAAGAAACGGCGGGCTCAAGCAGCGGAAACCGCTCTAGACCCGACGGCTGCTGACAAACAACAAGCAGCGGCAGCAGAGGTGCTGGCCGGATCCTCCGACCAAAAGATCGGAGGACGCTCTACAGCAGACGAGTCCGAACAAGACTCCGACGCTGAAAGCCAGAAAGGCAACACCAACCACGTCTACAACAACAGTAACGACAGCAGCGACGAGGAGGGCGAGATCAGCGAGCCGGGCTCACGCGGAGTTGCAGGCGACATGCTGGATGACGACAACGACCTGGGGGGGGGGCGCCTGATTCCGGGCAGTGCTCTCGAGCGGTTTGTTGTGGGCGCGCTCAACCATGCGGTCAAAACCAAAACTGACCCACCCGGCTTTGTGCTCCAGCTAGCGCTGGGAACCTCCATCCCCGACCCCGTGATCGCCCAGGTGAACCCTCGCCGTATTAGTCATGAGTTAGCCCACGAAAACCTCACTGCTCGCCATGCCGCTGTCAACGACACCACCAGCAGTAGTAGTACTTCGCAATCTCGAAACAGGCAGAGCGCGGATTCTATCTCGCTGTTGGCAAACACTCCGAACAACACAGGAGAACTGCAACACCTTGGCACACCGAACAGCACCGCGGTCAATCCAAACCTTGACATGCAGCAGCAGTACAACTCGGTAGACCAGGCACACGTTAGCACGAAACGTTTCACGCTCAAAGCTACGGATCTGCCTGCCTCGATCAAAATCGAAGGTAAAGCAGACGAGGACATTCCTGAAATGATGGCGCTTTACCGTTCGCGTATCAGCCTTCTATCGCAGGATAACGTATCTCAGCAAGAAATCGACCATCGCGCTATCAAACACCTTCCTCTGGTAACGCAAGGTACAGCAGCACAGAGCCTCAACCTCGTACTCAGTTCAGCAATTGAATGGAGGCCTGAACCCATGCTAGCCGCCCTTCGCGCCAGAGGGGAACATGTAACACGCAGGCCGCCAAACACGTGGCGTGAATGGGTCACTGCCCTGACCACGCTATTTGCACCCAACAACAGAATCGCGCTACTTGCTCGGGATGTCATGACCCTGGAAGCTGAGTCCGATGAATCTGTTGACGCGTTCGCACTTAGAGTGTCCAGAGCATACTCACGTCTGCTAGCAGAAGCTGAACGCACAGTTCCAGCAAACAAAACACCTCACGAACATGTCTTCGACAAAGCTATGATCGCATCGTTCGAGAACGGCCTCCACCCACATATCCGCACGGAGATGAATCGGGAAGATGCCAACGAAACATTCATGGAATCCAAAGGACGAGCTCGAAAACACGAAGCTAATCGGTTGCAAGAATCACCGATTCCGTCCAACGATACCTCTCTTGCTGTATCTTCCATGTACGCACCGACCGGAAACCAGCTCGGCAACCAGAACGAGTTGCTGACAGCGCGAGTTAATGCCCTAGAGGAGGCCATCGAACAAGGTCACCGAGTAGCGAGCGTCAACAACAAAAACACCAAAGACCGGTCGCGCGACATCAAAGCCAAGAAAACCCCGGCGTATCGTGACAAAGGCACCAAAACGGTGACCTGGCGGGACCGCATCGGCAGTCGAGATGGGAAATCGGCTAGCAAGAAACAACGCACCGACCCTGACGAGGAATGTGATTTTCCCCTGTGTAAACACACAAAAGGGAGATTCACGCACGGCCGTGCAGACTGCCACCACGAAGCGACCTTGAAGAAGCACAAGTTCAAGATTGTGCAGCAACCATAGGGTTGCCCGCGTAAGCTAGATCTCTTGGCTGATGGGGGAAAACAGTCGCTTGGGAAACGTACCAAGTCGGACAAGAGGGATACCGAGCACCGAAAAAAGCGTGTTCAACCTCTGGTGGGAAGTAATCAGGAAGCAGATGAGGTGCACCGGAAAAAGGCAGCCGTAGTACTACGTGGTAGGCAGCCATACGTGATGGATCAACAGTCGCGTAGGGTATGTCTCGACAGGAGTGCTCCAGTAGCTGCGCAGGTCGACACCGTTGCCCCAGGCAACAGTAGCGTTAAAGCCGCAACAGGCGCGAGTAGAGGAAAACTAGCGGTCGAACGAGCACCGCAGGCTCTATACGTAGCTACCGTAACTGGAGGTCTCAAGTCGAAACATAGGTCGAGAATATTGACTGCCGACAATAATAATGAGGAATTTTCTGCATTCCACATGTCAGCGCTAGCTGGATACCCTGAAAATCCATCTGCGTTGAACGCTGCGTCAAAACGAGTACGCATTCCTGCCAGAATCAACAATCAATCGGTTGCTGAAATTACAATCGATACAGCGTGTGACGTACCATGCATATCTGCACAATTTATGCGTCGTCACCAAACGCTGAAAGACACGGAAATATTTCCCGTGCCACCAGGAGCAATAAATCTGCGAAGCGCAGATGGCTCACCTCTTAAAATTAGAGGATACACTCGGTTTGAACTTACACTGGGAGAAATAACGATTCCTGTCGAAGCACTAGTGTTGCCGTCGTTGGGACCCGATAATATGTTACTAGACAATAGTATCATGGGAGCATTCGGTGCTGTGTTAGATTGGCAAGCGGAACAGCTGTCATTCAAGAATTCAGAGGTAAAAATACCCGCGACACACCGAAAAACAAAACAGCCCGCGACCGCATCGATCGGCAGATGAAATTAATTGCTCGATAGTAGCATTAGACGGTGATACAGAATCAGTGCCTGTCTACCTCAGCAAGAAAGCTGCGTTCCTGCCCAACACGAAATAGCAGTGGAAGTACATTCACTCGAAGCTCCGGCAGAAACAACACCGGCTTTGGTAGAACCACGCATAGTCACAACGGAAGACAAGCAGGTAAAAGGTATGCCACAAGCGTTTCGCAGGATAATAATAGCACGTACTGTGTGTCACTGGTCCGCGAATAACAAAGGAGCGGTGGTCCAAATAGCCAATCCCTCCAATCGGCAAGTCACCTAGTGTACCTCAAGAAAAATACGCTTGTAGGGCACATATCTCCCGTGAAAACAGTATTGCCGCAGACAGCGAGCAGCGTTCAAACGAGCAAAGAAGAGACGGCCAAACACCGTCAAGACCTACAAAAGGCACTTTCCAAAGCTTTCAA